CAAGACATGCTGTGTGATTTTTTTTTTCCTTTTAGTTGCCGATCAGGAAGAAAAGCTTCAAAGGTGTTCTTTACAACAGACATTACTAGTCAGTGCTTTTTGTGTCTGAAACTTTCAGATATGAACCAGTTGAGGTTAGAGTATATAATATTAATGTTAGAGTAAGGTAACCAATAAAGAAAAAATTACAAGTAGATAGTATATAATAAAAAAATGTTATCTAAATAAATCTTTTGTTACTGTTTCACATCAATGTATGTTAAGGAAAATAATATCTTCCCATGTGATAGAATTAATAATTATTGTCATGTTCTGTGTGTAGGAAAAAAGTTAAACTGGGATTTCATATATATCTGAATCTTTATTAACTTGTTTTCATTTGTTTGCATGATGTAATGTTAAATGGTTTATATTTTTGCATAATATCAACTTGTTTATATAAACGATGTAATACTAACTTGTTTATGTGTGTGTGCAATAGTTTATTACTTATGTCTGTGATATAATGGAGCAGCTTGTTTTTGTTGGTATTCTAGTGTATTTATAATCATTTATTGTTTTGTTTTTTTGTACGAAAAGGTTGATAAAGTTTGAAGAAAGCAATGATCGCTCTCAACTCATATTTGGTTCAACAAAGACAATCCTCGCTCGAGATGCTGAAAATCTTCCATTGTTGAAAATGATGTTAACATTAGATGTTAGCAATAGCCTGACCTTGTATACAGGAATTCACAAGGTGTAAACTTTATTATTCATGTAAATATAATGTAAGAGTAAGATACTTATAAGTATTATGAAATAATCATGTTTGTATTTAAATATTTACCGAGTGACATTACATAGTAATTCTTATTTTAAGAATTCTAAGAAAATCTGAAGCCTGAACTACTGTGTTTGGATGCACAAGTTCATGTAAACAGATGCTTATTCTATAATATATATATGGATAATTAGTTAAAAATAACTATAATAGTATCTAATATTAACTTGACTAAGGATGAGATTGTGTCACAAAAGGTGATCCGCTTCTTGCTGTTGGTCCTAAAAAAATGATCCATTTGTTGCTGTTTGGCCTTAAAAAGTGATCTACTTCTTGCTGTTTGGTCTCAAAAGATTTCGTTTGTTGTTGTTGGGTCTTAAAAAGTGATCAACTTTTGGCTTTTTGGTCTCAAAATATTTTGTTTGTTGCTATTTGGTCTTAAAAAGTGATCCACTCCTTGCTGTTTGGACTTAAAAGTGATCCACACCATGCTTTTTGGTCTCAAAAGGTGATCAAATTCTTTGGTTTATTCATAAAAGAAAATTGAAGAGTTATTAAACAAATTTGAATATGTTAGATATATCTTAATATGATTTCTAGCTGAATTTGAAAAACTGAGTGTGGAACATTATTTTAATCATGTTTATCAGCATACAAAGTTTGGGGACATGCTAATAAGTTACTTTTTTTTGTCAAGATTTGCAAGGTTCACATTCCCAGCATTCCGGGACCCCTCAGCATGTTGCTTGGAGGAGGAGGAAGTCGTCGTAGTTCTGGTATTCCAAGTACTCCCAGGAGAAGCAGTCTCGTGACTTCTAGTAGACCACCAAGTGCCATGGATGCTCACTTTGATGCAGAGGTACTTTCTCTTCATGTGTTAATATATCATTTATAATAATTTACACACACACTATTTAACCTATCACTCCGGGTACCCTTTACTGCACATTACACAAGGTTTTAGTGTCTTACATTCAAAATTTTATTGAACTATTTTTTGTTTATGTTATACCAATTAGTATAGTATAAAATCTTACCTAATAATCCATATTTTAATAGTATACAAGTTTTAAGTTCTTAATTCTACAAGAAAATATTGAAAAAAATTCTGAATTTCCACTAGTGTCACCCACGTGACACATTTTGTCTTAGCATGTCATCATCCCTATTTTATCCTTCACCCCTCAAAAATGTACGAAATTAAACATAAATTACTCTCTATAAAATCATTATTGCTCAAAGAAACCATATTTTTATATCCTTCAATTTTGTTTGGTTACAGAGCTATCGAATAGAAAATCAGACTCCTCCTGCCACACCCACCTGTCACATCCTCTCTTTCACAATTCGTTGATAGTTCTCTCTTACATTTCATTATATATTACCTGTAACCAATAGAAGGTCAAGGTTTTCATCTATCAAATGAGTTATTGTATAATGTTGTGTTCTGAACAGGTAACTATCAATTTCACTCAGAATAGCAACATCATTCCCGTGGGAAAGTTAACGACTAGCTTGGATGAATTTGTAACAGCTCTTGTCACATAGTTAAAAATCCAGGAAAATTTGGAGAGTTAATTAAATCTGTCTACTTTTTGCATGTTATTAGTCTATATTATTTGGTGCATTATTTAATTAAATAAAAATTGTTAAGTGCATTACTATAAAAAAATCAGGCTTAACTCTCCTATACAATTGATGGCAAGAAAAAAGATTGGGTAAGTAAGTTATTTCTTGTTTTTCATATTTATTCTCTATTTATTATTATAAAAGTAACTAAAATTTAAAAATACATATCTTTTTAAGACTAGATTAGGTAAAATAAGTAATAATAATGTAATTAAAATTGTTCACGAGGCATGCACATGAGCAGCTTGTAGGTAATGCAATTCGATAGTGTAATGTGAGCTGCACGTTTCCCCAAGTGATTTATAACTTATAATGGTGCGGATAGTAGTTAGACATGGTTCAAAGGACAATAAAACATTAAAATTTAATTACAAATAGATGTATAATGTTACGAACTTAGAGCTATTTAGGATAAACGAATGTAGTTTCATGTCACAATTTGAAGTCATTCTAGAAAGAAAAAAGTTTAATTTAGATTTATTTAGATTTTTTTTTTGGGTGGTTACAAGGTCTGTTGAATTGATCGATCTTGTTTTGAGATAAGGTAGAGAAAATAACAGATAAACTATAATGTTTTAGTGGAAAAAAACGTTTGTAATGCATTTAGGAGGTTTTAGGGATTAGAAAAAGGAATTTGAAAACTTTAAGATGAATAAAAGTCTTT